CGAGCAGCACGGAAGACGTTCAGTGACAGCGGTTCTAGAATGAAAAGGCAGACAACTATTGCAACTAAAACTCGATTCAGCTTGTCTTTGTGTCCTGCCCTACTCACCATAAGCTCCCGTTAGGGTCCGTTTGCTATTGGCTGGGCTACCGTTTACTTACGCAGCGTTGCGTTACCTGCCTATGGCTTGTGGCTTTTTTGTGTCAGCCACCAGAAGCCTGCTATTTTTAGCGGCCTTCGTATGCCTGTCTCACATTTCGGTCCGCAACCTCGTTACACACACAGTAGTAGCTATGCTACCACGTCAGGGAGATAGGCACATAGCCTGGGGAAATGCTACTGTCATTTCAATTCAATTGTCGGTTTGATTTAGCCAGCAGAAGGACAAAATGGATAAATGAACGAACTGCTTGAATACATGCTTGCTCAAGCCGGCTACACCGGTCAGCTGACAAAATCAGATGAACGGTCTTGGGCTACGGGAGGATACGATGACCCTCATTCATTGACAGCTAATTCTCTTGACTAGTTAATAGCCCAAGCCCAAGTGACGAACTAGCTTTTACAGTACTCGTTCTTATGTAGTATATGGTGTACTCTTGAATGCGGGCTGCTATGTACCTTCTTCTATTTTACGACTATTTGCAGCCACTCTAGCAGCGCTAGCGTCTCAAGCACAATAAGTCGGTCATCGCTTACCTGACAACCGATTGCTCCCTTCGACTTCGTAGACCAGGCCCTTAATGGTATTTACAGCCTTGCAGCTTGGTCTTGTAGTTGCAGCAAGGGTTTCGTACGACGTGACTTGTTTCTGGGGGATGGAGGCTGCTTCGCGATAAGCTTCAGTTAAATCAGCAGTTGTCTATAACGCACATCTATGGCGTGCGTTCGTTCCATTTCAGTCGACTGTACTCCGCTTCTGACTGAAAGCAAACTGCTCCTTTTGTGTTTTGAATGGCCATTCAATGCATTGCTCTCGTTATTAACTACGTTCTGCAATGAAATCTGACGACACGGCAGGTTCTGAAAATACCAAAACCGCCTAATGTGGATGCCCAGCTTCGTTACCACTATTTCATGACATTCGAGAATCCTTAGAGGCCATTCCACTCTAATAAGGGTCACACCCCTCCACGTCTGCCCTCCGCCATCGTAAAGTACGTCTAGTTTCAGGTGCGGTGAAAAGATCCCTCGATCTAAACTGGCCTTTATCCGTTGTTTGAACCAGTGTGAACTGCCAGCATCGGAGACTAACAGGACGGCGGCAGCAACCGCGCGGTTTCTAAACACAACGACGCTACTATTGGCCTATATTACTGTGCTATATAACGGAAAGTCGAAACTTGTTTGTCGTTTTGCCAGTGAGTTTCATGTTCCATTTTTGCGTGCTAGGCCATTTTTTAACATTTTTCGCCCTCTTTGTCCCGATCGTATTCTTTCTATATACCTCATCTTTTCCGGCCACTAGTGCTTCCATAACTAGACCTTAAAAACCCGTGCAGCCCGTGCCTCAGTATTTCATAATACTCCATTATTCCGTTCTGCGTTTATTTCATGAGGTGGTCACTCAGGGCGTAAAAACCACCAGCGGTTCTGTTCTCCTCTCAAGCAAAAAGAGCCAGCATCTTTTCCGAGTTTCTTGCTTTTGCTCCTTTCCTGCTTTCTCTGAAATCTGTCTCTTCCAGGTACAGGGCTGAACGAAATAATGACATGATCAGAAAGGCGTCTGCAATGGCCGGCTGCGCAGCCGACGGAAAAAAAGAGAAATCAAATCACCCAGAAGCCTTGCGGAGAGCGAAAAAGTATATAAATTTTTATCATTCAGACTTCATCGCACAGCTTCTTTCTTCTTTGACGCAACACTCCACCAAGAGTCGTCTTTCCTCTGCGCTCTTATATCGTACTCGGCCGCGCGTAGCGGTTGTTTCTGCCTTACCCTGATACCATTTCTTCTGCTTGTATATTACACGCTGTAGGTAAAGGACGTTCCGTCGGTCCGTTTCAGGCTGAGGCTGACGCACCCAATCTCAGCCAGGAGATAAATCTATGTTTAAATCATATTTCGATTATAGATGAGTCCATAATGACAATAATCATGTATCAGATACAAGTAGGTTCGTTCGTGATGTTGACGATCGTCGTTGACTGTTAACGAGGACTGACACTATTTGTTCTGGTGTCACTCGTAAAACAAATCTGTCCCTGCACATAACTTCTCTGAAGTTTCCTAATACGTGAAGCGTTACTGGGCAACGGTCATAGCGGTACGCAATAAAGTGGAAAACCATTAGAAGGTGATACTAATAGATGGGCATAACAGCACCGTTCGTCAATTAAACCTAGCCGACCTCAGACCGGGTATGTGGGCTAAAAATAGGAGTAAAAGCCTTACGCTATGCTGGTTGACGTTTTGCTTCAAACAGCGGTAGACCTCTAATCTTAGCTAGTAGCAGTAGGTCTAGCTACGTCGTTACGCAAAAAAAAGCTTTCAAAGGCCAAAACGATTTCTGTTTCATAGATACATACAAAATGTACATAGAAAATTAACTGTAAGCTACATAATATTTCTGTGACATAGTAACTATTTGTAGACAAGTGTCTTTAGATGTCACTGGACGTTACTCAGAGACGCTTATCTTTCAGTGCCGACTAGAAGGCAGTACGGAGTTGGACCATTATAACCGTATATACTTTTGACCCTAATGGCTTGGAAAATAAGAGCTACTTCGAGCAAATGACGAGATTTACTTTTTTCTCAAACCCTGCTCTACAATCTATTATCACGCACATACTTTTATACACACATTCCACTTTCCGAAGGCCATCATTTCTGAGGCAACTCCTTCTATTACCTTCGTTGGGTAGCCAGCAAACGCGTGCTAACTAACACCAGGGCCTGCCAGTTTCGACAAGGGATTTTTTCAGTTAAGTTCTTCTTCTTGCTACTCTACCTAAACACCCTCAATAAATGGACGTCACTGGCTGACGTCTCGGCATTATTCTCTTACTACCATCACCGTTCGCCCCTTTTAGCGATTACCTCTCAACGGTGTCATTCCTTGAGCCGATCAAGCCGACAGCAATACCACTATCATAAAGACCATTCCACCGTTTTCCTTCGTCGCTGTATCTTTCTGGCGCGTCTGCCTTTGTTTCGGGATTCCGTTTTCTTGCGGAGCAGACGGTAACCAGTAGCATTGAAACAAAAGTCTGGGTTTCTTAGCAAGCGGGATAACTGAAGTCCGGTCTCGGCACTAGGTATGCTATCGTGTGAGCGCCTAAGCTCTAATTGGCACTATGAATTATCCCGTCTCACACGTCCATTAGTTGTCGTTTAGTCGTAGCTACATAGGTTCCTCGAGCTGTCTATTTCGCTAGCCAGCGCAGTTGCATCATACTAGCTCGTACTCTTACTCTGATACACCTGGTACGTATAAGATCTTTCTTCTTTATTAAAGAAACTACACATCCAGTAGCAGCCGACCAATCGCACAATACGGACCTAGTCATTAGATCTTTTCTAGCCATCGACTTCCCGTAATAAGTATCCACAAACATTTTCTATCCTAAAACCGAGGGTGTATGACCTTAAGGCGCAGGATCGCCAAACATCGAAACAGATACTGGAGAAATAAGGCCTATATGGTTACAAAACTATTGCCGTAGGTTGTTATAGATGAAATATTTCTTTGATATTATAGTTGTGTTTAGTGAAGCACGAAATCAATCACAGGTTTATTCAATGTGTTTTGTAGCTTAGCTTCTATATAACATGACAGAGGCGATTGGTAATCGGTTAGGGAGCCAACGGCTCAATCCAAACATAACGATTAATCCATTCAGGAAGCATACATCCCTTTTCCCTTACAATTTAATGATGACTATATCGGATAGGCACAGACACGTTTGAGGTGATGGCGAAAGGTTTTGAAGGCATCGGCCTTTCTGTGCTACTTCGATTGTCGCAGTGTTCAAATAAGACATCTGTTTTGCTGACTGTCGTTGTTGTGGTCAGGAACGCAATAAACTCCGCAATTTACGCTATCTGGCAAGAGAACCTACGATTTCTTCTCATTCTGTGTGACAGTTTTCACCGTTGCTACGTCCTGTAGCAGAAGAGTCTATATAAACGAAAAAAAAAAGACAGTCGCACAGACACTTCATCTATTCTTGGTCATTGGTGAGATCCAACTGCCTGCTAGCAGTCTTCTATTTCCCGTGAGATTTTTGCACTGCGTGCATCGTGCTTGCGTCACAAAAATGTCTATTCTATATGTCGACCCTTTCAAGAATGTGCAAACAAACTGGATCATGTTCATGGTGGCTGGCCGGTAGGAAGGAGAAAACGGTGCAGGTGGAAAAGCAACCCCTTCATGTACCTGCTCATTTCGCTATCTGCGGCTTTTACTGGCTTAACAACTGCCGGATTTTTTCCGTGTAGTGCAAGGTGCGAGCCGCACGCTCCTAAGAAGTGCAGTAGTTTACCAATAGCGAAACGATAATAGATAGATTTCCTGACTTCTTAGCAATCTTCAAAGAGATCCGTAAAAACGTCACTGTTCCAAGCCTTTATACTTTTTTTTTTTTCTAGATCATTTTGTCCTTCTCGATCGAAACCAGAAGAACGACGACCAAACCTGGGCTTTATTGGTCTTGGTTATGCAGGTTATGTTGTCTCTCGTTTTATTCGCTGAATCGAATGCATATAGTATAGTGCAAAACTATAAGGGCCAGAAGGCTAGCGGACTCCAACAGCGCTTTGTTTGTATAAAGATGTCCTGCCATACCCATGCCCATAACGGATGTGTTGCACTATCCGTTTGCCATTGCCAAACGTTCCATCTAAAACAGAACTATTTGCCGGTCCATTCATAAGAAAGTCCCCAATTTTCGAAAAAGATTCCACAGTGAGTTTTCGCCAATTGTATTCTTTTCCTATAGCCTTTCTCCGATTCCGATTCATTTGTTTGTGTGCTAGTTTCGCCTTCATCATTAACTTACCTTACTTGGGAAACCATTTTGATGTTGCTGTTCCTGATGCAGATGTGATAGTAGGTGTTGCTGCAGCGTCGCCGTCGTGGTGGCTTTATTGTTGAAATGTCCATTTCCTGATCCGTGTTGTAACTGTTGTTCTTTACAAGCAACTGAACCGACGGTGGCCATCTGCTGCTGCTGCTGCTGTTGTAGATCGGACGTACCGCTGGCGGTGCCATCTCCCGGCCTTGAATCGCCTGCTCCGGCACCACTTGTTGTGCCACTACCTGCAGTACTAGCAACTGCTGCCGCCGCTGCAGCTGTCGTTTGTGCGGCCTGATGGCGCTCCTCGGATAGCGACACATGGTAGCTGTTACGGGTCCCGGTCGCCGGCAGCCGAAGCGTGCCTCGCAGCTCCCGAAGCAGCGACGTCGCACCGGGTCTCCGGTGTGAAGAGGCATGCGACGATGACATGCTCGTCCCGGCGGCAGCTGCTGGTGTGAACCGCAGCCGCGGCCTTGAGCCTAGTTATCACCACCAACACGGAGGTAGATGTTTGCCACGCCTACCACTACCACGTACTTACCCACCCCGCCCACCCACGTCTTGCGCTTCCCCTCAACAACAGCTAATACAGCAGCCGTCACGTGGGGCACAATCGTATGGGGGGATGAAAAAATTCAAAGCACCAGCAAGCTGCTGGTTCGATGTGGCTATAGCCACCACCGACACCCGGTCCGCTTCGTTGACGGGTGGTCCCGACCAATGTCGAGCGACAGGAGGTCCTGCTGACGATGAGAGTCCTGAATCAGGTGCAAGGAGATGCGGGATACGCGGTCGTGGCGTCTGCTGGCCAATCATGACCCTGCTCCACACAGCATACGGTGCGTTCCTCGCTAACCCTTCTACCACGATGGTTACGGACTTGTATAGGGCACTGCAGCTGGTACAAATCCCGGAGTCGCTTACAGACCACACTGCATAGGACGCCGCATTGCACTGAACATGGGTACAGAGCAGAGTCAGATCAGCTTAGCAAGAGCGACCATCAGTAAACCATTAATGGTCATAAACAGATCAGTGGTCAAACTGGTTGTGGGTCGGTGTGGGCTTTTTGCTGACTAAATTAGCAGGAGAACTCGATCTTCACTTCGGATGGCTGCGGCGCACTCAAACCATCTGTAACGATCGCAAAACACAAAGTAAGCCTGATGCTTGAATTCAAGTACTTCAAAAACACTGTCAGTTTCGAACGGGTGTGTTTTAAAGCAAATATTTTACTTAGATATGATTTACTTTGACAACATTTTAAATTTTCATTAAACGCTTAGTGGGTTATGTATTCTCCATCCAACATTGTAAGGTAAGTTCTGCTATAGGTCAGGTAAATAGTTTATTCGGCAAAACTTTAGTATTCAATTTAATATCGTAGAACATTATTTGGTTTCCTCAAATAATCAGTATTAGCTATCAAACGTCGAACAAGCATTCACGGCCTTTTGCAGGTCGGAAAAATCATGCTATGATAGGCCAAAGAGCTAAAAGGGTTTCGGATAACTGTGCGAGCGGCATCAACCTATGGCAAAACGAGTTTTGCGGCTTGCCACTAAGCAACACTGGATTAAACAAACCAGAAATATGCATTTATGGCGTGGAGACATTGCTGCGACAAACTGAAATGTCGTCTACCCTTTCGCAGACATTTAGTTAGTACCAGTCCCATATTTAGTTAAGTCACGAATGCTTCGGAACCCTTGAGCCCTTCAACAGGACACCTTTAAGTTCCTATAAATCAACATCCTGCGGAAAACATCGTCTGGAGAGAAGCCTTTTTCGTTGCAATAATTTTATTTACCATTTCGATACGGAACAATATGTGTCAGTAAAGCGCATGACTATGTATAGTAAACAACAATATTATCGCCTGTACGTTTTTACCGTGCATTTGGTTAGTTGTACAAGAATACGTTATGTGAACTGGATACTGAATTTTGGCTTGTTCGTCTGCTCTTTCGATCTTTAGCGGCTCGAGGAACGTCGGTCTGGAGGAAGCCGTGTGATTCCCCGACAAATGTTACTCTACTGTGAATAAACGAGCGGTTTAGTCCCAAGTTTTTCTATGTTTAATCAATTTTGCATAATTTAGTGCAACTACTCGTTCAAGTTCAGCGTAGTACGTTCACTGTTTCAACACAAAGCCATAAAAGCTTTTCTAGTTAAAAGAAGTAGACGACTGGTGCAGGACTAGCTATGGGTTCCTGAACTGGCCGGGCTACTTTTGTCATTTTCAACTACCTGCAGCCATGGCAACCTATTCACCGATTCAATATTCCTTAATTCGTACTCGTCGATTTTCTCAGCTGGTCTCAGAGGTGACCTTCGCAGATTGTTACAACTCTTATGAGTGACAACTTCTTTTCGCATGAGATCATTTTTTCCCGAAATTTAAATAATCAAATGTAAAAACGTGACCTAGATATGTTTTGCAAGTTGTGTTTGAGTCATGATGATACTCCATATTGTCATATGTAGGAAAATTTCACATTCTGTTTCTACGCTATTACAAAACGGTTGAATTTTATGGATGAGACGCACAGTTTAGGTACAGAATCGATCAGTGAAATGTGCCCAGCAAACACATTAACGAAATCAGGTATAAGCAATACATTCACGCTCAACGGTAGTTAGATATATACATATATATATAACATATGTAGCGTATGAATCCTATTACTCGAACTGATTTGATTTTAGTTTACGTACATTTTTGCTGTTTTCGTTGTTATTCAACAACGCTAGTACTACCAGCAGTTCTCTACTTATTTGTCCTCTCTTCTTTCGGTCCAGCTAGGCCAATAGGCTCAACTTTACGCATTGTCGTAGTTCATCAAAGACCTACAATAGTCGCTAGCTTATGCGACGTCTCATGCCATTGTCGTTGTATAGAGAATGCATCGTTTTCTCTGTCACCATCACTCCTCATGGCCCATTGGTAACAATCCTAACATCGGCTAAAATCTGATCGTCAACATTCAAAAATAGAATATCACGAAACTGCGAAGAGGACAGCAGAAAGAAACCTCTAGAGATACATGATAAATAATCACAGACGTGTACGCTCGATTTCTCGTGCACAGTGGTGCTACGTACTCCGTGAATTCCCACAAAACGATGAGAGGTGCACACCCCAGTCGGATGTTATGACCTGCCAGAACACCAACTATGCTATGGCATCCTACAATACTGTTTCAGTTTGCAGTAGCATCATCATAATGCATTAACAAGTCCCAATATTATGACTATAAAAGGCTGCCTTGGGGGAATCTCTTCTTTCAGTACCCGTGATCATGATTAACCTCTGTATCCGTTATACGTTATAATACAGCAGCAGCAGCAGCAGCAGCAACTAGTTTTCCCCCTTTTTTCCTTTCCTCTGCTTTTCCATTTTTGCGGTTTTCTCTTTTGTCCTTCGTGTATGTATATCGGATAGAGTCGGTAAGCACCGATGATTAAGTTAGGTTATATACTGAACGCACGTAGTCGGGACCGCCGAGATAACGGCTGCGAGTGAGAGGGAGAAAGAGATTACGGGACAAAAAACGTTGCCGGGCGCTGTGAATAGAGCTTTCTGCGGCGGTCAATAGGTTGGCAAACTCGTTCGTCTGTTCATTCCTCTATCGCGAGCAGCCCCACCCACTCTGTCCGGCGCTAACGGCCACAACGCACACGATGCGACGGCAGCAGCAGCAGCAGCAGCAGCTGATGAAATGGTGGCGATAAGATGAACGAAGATGGCCGACATCAGCAGATGGCTGGAAAGAGTCAAGCTAAGCAGAGAACGCGAAGGAACCGCGAAGGAAAGTCGGCGCCGAAGAAAGACGCTACGGCTGTGTGTCTACAGGGGGTACATCCATGAAATTCTGAAGGCCTGAGTGCTCCTATACGACATCGTTTTGTGGAGCATTGGCGCACAAAGCTATTTTGTTGACCTTTTACCGTGATGACTGCGGCGTGCTGATTACCAACCTAGTCTCTACATATACTATGGCAGGGCATGTTTGTACTGCCATTTGATTAAAAATATAACATTACAATAATAATTTTTATTGTTATTCTGAAATGCTACCGCCGGCTATATGGGGTCGCGAGCGGGATAAAAGATGCGCTTGAAATGCAACCAAATCTTTATTGTGAGGAAACGTAGTGGGACATAAAACAGAAGAGGTAAGAACTTCACATTGTATAAACACGCATCTACCGCAAACATTTTGACAATTGTAACAAACACCTAGCACCTGTTTTGTAACATATGTCAAGATAAATCGTGTTATGCAGTCAGAATAATAAGCACATCTTTTTTTTAAATCGCCTAGTTTAGTACTTCAAATTATTATCAAAGGGGCTCATCGCATGACCTGCTTAATCGTTTCATCGCGCCGTTAGATTGGGTCCGCGTCTACGAATTGCATGAAAACGCGTCTGCAATTTTTTGCGTCTCAATATTTTTGACTCTGCGGACAGCCAAAAACTCAACAATTAATTTCAGGTAACAAACGTACCTCTCGACTGGATGATCAAACAAGGCTACGCTGTTGCTTAGAAGAAATCCTAATTTCCAATGATTCGATTTTATTCACCCACGTAAAGCTACCCTTACCCCTGGACCATTAATAACACGCTCTGTTGCTACGCGCCCGCATCGATCAACAGTATCACCTACACATACCGTGCACGAGTTGTGTGTGTATATGTAAAACAAACACAACACAATCAGTAAAAAGAAAACATCACACAAATTGTTTAATTCAACTTTCTCATCGTTTCGAAATGGCGCAAAGCCATCTTTCTGTTACTCTTCGCCGCTTCTGGCAGTGTAGTAGGCCCGCAATGAGAGTATTTGCATAACAACAAACGATTTAGACAGGCGATCGCGGACTGTATAGTGAAACGCCTTCAGCGGCCACCGCTGCTATTGGCGCTCGTTGTGGTCTATTAGAAGTAATCTACTGCGAGCTGCACAAGAATTTGTGCACAGGCATAACCCCGAATGCATACATACATAGTAGAGCATCATACACAAAGCGTTTCCGTCTCCATAGGTTTCCGCAATTCGTTGGCTAGCGTTCTTTTTTACAGAAAAAAAAAAAAAAAGACAAAACCCGAAAAAGAAAAATAACTTATAAATAAAAGCGTCCAAAAGCAGCCAGCCGCCAAACGAATGGAGAGCGGGGGGGGTAAGTCTGCGGCCGGAACTCACAACGACTCACCCCAAAAGCCGCCGTATATGGACAGATACACGAGTACATAGGTAGATGCAAGCATACGTTGATGCCAAGAACTTGGTCTGAGCCACTATAGCGTCCGCATCCACATCTGCCGCAAACGCTGTCGCCGACCAACCGTCTGTTCGATCACGAGCGTGCCAGTCCAGATTGAATTGTCATAGCGTGAAGATGAGGATCCTACTGTGGCAGCAGTGGCAATGATAACGGCCACTGCAGAGCGGCAAATATCGGCCTACTGCTGCTCCCATTGTGATCTTTTTTATATCCACTTAAATCTGACAGTGGAGCTACGCGTCCGAAGGGCGTAGTCACCACGACGGCGTCGCGTTACAAACGAAAAGCGCGATCAACAGAACACTGGGTACTTTTACAGAAAACGCAATAGCGTTTATCAGCTGGTTGTTGCATCTGCTTTCTGTTGTCGTTCACTTGCGACTGAACCGTTATTATATCTATCGCACCACCGTAGCTGCTACAATGCTTAGCATCCTTCCTACAGCTGACTTGAAGAATGAGGAAAGCCTATGCCAGATAGTTGAGCGATTGATGGCTTATATTGTTTTAACCGTGAGTTACCGTAGTGATTTAATTGGCACTCGTCGCATTTTTCGTTTTGTTTAAACAGCGACAATGGAAGATTAAACGACGAAGAACCTTAGCAAGAAATGAGTGAACGACAGTCGGGACCACCCTGAGAGGCAATTAAGCTACGGCAAACCAGTCAACTGGTAATTATGTAGTTCGTAAGTATTGCATTGTGCACACATAGAGAAAATAACTGCCAGATAATTGACTAAAGCATCATTTGCATGACGATAGTGATTGAGCTGGGACCCGTTTCTTGCTGTGTCGTTACTGTTGTCGGCTGTTTTTTATTTCGGTAAAAACCGCAAT